ATGCACACGCATTAGCCCTCTCGGCCATCCCATCCCAGAATGCCATACTTAAAGGAGTAGTATCCAGCCCTTCTTAGCGCTTAGAGTTGAGTGCCGGTATAATCAAATATATCAGCCTCAAGGCTCAACAATCAGGCTCTTTCCCTAATTTCGAAGACAATATTTCCTAGGTACGTTCCTTTATCAAATCATCAAAAACCATCGTCCTTCTTACGCCAACAACCTCCTCCAATTCATGTCCTCAGTCCATTCCCTTTCAACAAGATCTCAACCTTCTGACCTCTACATCTCTTCTCACAGATCTGCCTCATTTCAAAACTCCTTTATTGCTCGCGCTGTCAATTTCTGGAATTCCCTACCTATCAAAATTCGGCATTCCCTCCATATCCACATTCAAAACTCTTCTATTCCAATTCCTATCCAGAAATGAGTCAGATGCTTGCTAAACTTTTATAGCTTGTTTAACTAATATTTTCTTTACTTTCACTTTTTTTATTTTGGCCAGATGTAGTCTTTTACTTATGTACTATTTTGTTATTCTAAAGGGACTTTGTCCCAGAATAAAGTTATTTTCTATTCTATTCTAATTGTTTTTTTAGAACATATAATGTGGCAATTGAAGAAGAGATAGTAAAGGTCTTCTTTCAACAACTTATATGTAAGAATAAATTTTTTAAATACCTAAAGAATATTATTACACTAATCAAGAAAACCTAAAGGCAATGACAAAAAAATTTAGATAAAAATTACTAGTTAGAATTAATTATGACATAAAAATCTCATATTTACAAAAATTCGTAGAAAAAAAAGCTTTTTTAATTTTGAATTAAATACTCCTGGATTAAATAGTGCTATTATTTTTAATTATGTTTTATATTTATTTGAAATATTAAAAAATAAAATATAGGATTGTTTTATTTTGTAAAAAAAAAACATACAACTTGTTAAAATACATTTTATTTGCTTGAAAATAAATAGATAGCAAATAAACCTTCCTCTCACTTTTTAAATTTTTTAATATTAGCAAATTAATATTTTATTATACGTTAAAGTATTGATTTGACGTAGAAAGGTAAATAATAACTTTCAGAAACAAAGTCAGAGGAGTAATATTGGTCTAGTGGTTATGAGAGCTTGATTTCTCCCCTCCATTTTCCACTTTGAGTGAGTGAACTAGTCCATATATAGACATTGGAAATCCACTAGTGGATCCAGGATTTGATTTTTTTGGGGGGCCTTCAGCCTGAAAGCTTTTTTTTCATATATATAACGATAATTAATTTGAAAAAAAAAAATAGAAACTGACTACCTATATGACATGGTATTTAAATGACTCTTGAAGTCCTATTAAATGTAATTACACGAACAATAATATTTTAAGGGATAATTTTTTTAACCATAAACATGGTAATATTTTACCATTTTGGGGGGAAGCGGCTTCAGCCCGAAATCCCGCCTCCTCTCCGTAGATCCGTCTGTGCTCACGTCAATAATCTCTACTTCTTGCAAACAAGTCTAATGATGGTGGATTATTATCAAATGTTGGTCACATAATTACAATAATGTTATAATAACAAAGAAAGTTATGTTTTAACTAACGTATATTTTTGCATACTAACATAATAATTTCAATAAAGCATTCATGGGTGGGAAAAAATGAGACCTAGTTGAGTTTGTTAAATAAATGCTAATGCTGTATTACGGTAACACGTGCTTAATATAATAAGTGCTGCTGTAATATTATTTACATGCACATATGCGTTTTCATAGATGCTAGAGTTTTTTTATTTAAAATTTAATTTTATAGATTACAACAATATAAACAATAAAATATCTGTACATATACCAATCCTTAAACAAATAAATATTCCTACAATGGATTAAAATAAATATAGCGACTTTCTCAGTGACATTCTTGTCGAACAAAAATATTTAATGTTACTTAATTACTGATTATAATTATATATTTAAATACCCGACTCAGCGAGGATTATGTGTTTGGATCGTTCTCTAAAAGAGATGGATTAATTTTTAAGTTTGATGGCTCAAATTATTAGATGAGATCCCCTAAGTGTTTTGAAACAATTTGAGCTCAAAATTCTAGCAAATTACTGAGTAAAATGTATTTATCAATCCGTAAAAAGGTACTTAATGAGTTTTTGAACAAATAGCACGATCGATTTTCAGCTTTAACGGCTGTAATTACTCAGTGAGATCCCGCGAATGTTTTCAAACCGTTTGAGCTCAAAATACTGGGAAAATATTTTATTATAGTTTAAGTATCTCGATTATTAATAGATTTGAAATGATATCATATGTTATGAAAATAAATTATTAATATTTTAAAAATTAGAAATGTTAAAATAAGAAATATTTGAATTAAGAAAAAAAAAAATGGCTACAAAAATTAGGAAATTGGGAAATCACCGTAAGAGAGTGTACTTCCATATGTATTTAAACATCGTGGTAGATTGATTGGGAAATTGGTAGTGTTGCCCAAATGCGAGACCGAGACGAGTCTTGGTCTTGCAAACTCAGTCTTGGTCATGGTCTTGGTTTTGCGCAAGACTCTAGCAACAGTCTTGCAGTTACAAGCCCAAATGAAAAATTAGAGGAGTTAAATGCAAAAGTATATTAGTTATATCAGTTATTAACACACAGTAACTAAGATTGTCAAGTATTAGTAACTTTTTTGAATTAATTTTTATTTAAAAAGTTGATTTTTTTTACCAGTCCTGGTCTTGGTCTTGCAACAATTATGCGGCCCTGGTCTTGGTCTCGCAAAGTGCAAGCCCAAGACCGATTTTGGGCAACACTAGAAATTGGCACCCCTGAACAAAACTCAAGAATCTCTAGGATGTTGACATGCACTGATACATGGATCGATATCTAGTTGCTAGAAGCTGTAATCTGTAGTGAAAGGCACCCAACTACTACAGCAAGTTTAAAAAGTTGTAGATGTTGATTTTCCTATCAATCTATCATGATATTTAAATAGATATACAAGTTCATTCCCTTAGGGTGGATAAAATTTCTTAAGTCGTTTTTTTTTATTCAAATATTTTTTATGATATACAGCTATAAAAAAATGCTTAGTGACAAAAAAGACTAAATATAATACATTAGACGGCTGTGAAAAAGTACGGCAAATTATGTTTTTAAAAAATATTTCGAATCGTCTGTAAATGATTATTTCTGCTAAAAAGAAGGGTGGTAAATGAAAGTTATATGAAGCGTCCATCTCACTAGATTTTCTTAATTTATTTTAGTTTACAAATTTCATTCATTAATATAGATTAATTGTTATTGATTTTATTTTAATTTTTTATGATTTAAATTATTGTAGGGGAGAGGGGCGAAACGATAATCTTGCCCCTCCCGAATTCTGCGTCTATGAGTATTTTCACTTTTAAAATTCACTGTGTTCATGGTTTTGTTTAAACTCGCAAACAGCGTGCTGATTATGCTTCTATAGGGTTTGAAGAAATTAATGTAAAAATTAATCCCATTTTTAATTTGTCTCTAAGGGCTAGTGTTTCAGAAGACCGTTTTGTCATTTCTAATGAGAATGGTCACTTTAATGTATAACTAAATATAGGTAAGTGAAAGTAAAAATGTCGTTTTACAAGAAAGCTATATGGTAAGAAGAACTAATTGATCCAAGATTTAGTTTTTTTGGGGAGGGGGAGGAGGAGGAAGCTTCAGCCCGAAAGAATTTTTTCTTAATAAATAACGATATTTACTTTGGAAGAAAAAGAAAGAAACTAACTACCTATATGAAACAGAGTTTAAGTGATTCTTAAGTAATATTAAATGTAATCAAAGGAACAATAATACTTTTAGAGGTAATTTATATTAAAAATTTTTTTTATGAGATATGGCTATATTTTATCATTTTTTGGGGGTGGGGAGAATTAATGAAGTCCAATTAAATGTAATTATATGAACAATAATACCTTTAGAGATAATTTGTTATATTCTTTTCATAAGATGTACTTATATTTTACCATTTTGGGGAGCTTTAGCCTAAAAGCCCCTCTTCTCTCTCCCCCCTCTCCTCCCCCCCGTAGATCCGCTTGTGACGAGTAGTGACACTGATAATAAAAACAAATAAGTTTCTCGCTTAGAAAAGAAACGGCATTAATATTGATAATATTTACAAAGTGAATTCCATACTCAACAATTTGTAACTATGTTTAACATTTTCAAAAATGAAATTCGTGTGATAAAGTTCCCAAACGAACCATAGTCATATAAAAGGACTATATTCCCTTTACATGTATAATTACTTTTCAGCTGGTATTATTACTAAGATTACCTTTTTATGTCATTTCTTAACTTTAATTAATATGAAAAAATATTTGTTTCATTATTTTTGGTGTTAATGTATGTGGGAAAAGTATGTTAATTATTGATAATATGGATCCCAAGAGGTTACCGACACCGCGAAGGTTACATTTCCTAAGATAATGTAAAAAAAAAAAAATGATTATTAATAAAGTGTAGTTTATGGGCAGCAGTGGGCACACGAGACCCCAAACGTATTTACTCACTGCTCCCAAAACCCTCTATGGCAGCAATGCCACGAAGAGGGAGAAAAATAAAATATATTCATGATTCATAATACAGGTAAAGAAATTTATTCTTAAAATCATCATTAATTGCTTGTTTGGTTTTTATTGGATCGACAACATTAATAATGGATTATCATACAAGTTATCGAGTTATCATTGCTATATGAAGAGGTACGAGATTATTTTTTTGGTTTTTGCCTGAGTGAGTTGAAATTTATTTCATGAGAGGTTTAGAGTATTAATTTTAATTAATTTTCTTCAATTTATTATTATACTTTTTAAATGTTAAATATGGACTATATTTGAATGGCAATTCTCATGTAGTTGGACTCCATGTAAAATAAACTGGACGAAGGGTGTACACGTCTTAGAAAAAAATATGTAAATACATGTAAATTCTGTCCCTATTTATATGTAACAAATAAGTAAATAAAATTTGATTGTAAAAAATTAAATCATTAATTATTTTAACAATTACGGAAAGAGCTTACTTTACATTTAAAATCTTGAATAAATATGAATTAATTTAGAAGTACTGTATTTAAAAGGTTGGCCTTGTAAGATCAGTATAGTTTCCTCATCATTTCAGTCGATAACAAATGTAAGTACCAATTTCTATCAAGGTCAATGATTTATTGTTTGAGTATAAACTTTACATGAGAAACTGTTTGAAGTATAGTCTTCTCGTTCTTCCTCCTCTTCTTCGAGTCATTATTGAGCTACTGAGTCGCTTCATTTCTGCAAGGGTCTTGCCTCTGTTATCCTCAATCCTCTGGATATGTTCCTGATGCGAGATTCTGGGTCGGCCTCGTGGTCTTCATCTCAAAAGACCGAAGACTCGTAAGAATTTCATCTCAACAGCAGTGGTTTGGCTGATATGCTTGTCGAGCATCACCCAGCTTCTTACCGCCATTTGTAAGGACTGGTAGGTATATAGCTTTATCTATGCGAATCTTAACATGTTCTCCTACATCACGGTGTCCTATTATGGTATTGTTAATCTGGTAGTACACTTGGTTCGCTTTCGTGATTCTATTTCCTATTTCGTGGTCAATTTTACCAAACCTATGTATAATGGTTCCCAGGTAGTTAAATTGATTCTTTACTTCTAGGATCTTCCCATTGCATAGCATTTCCACATTTTCTACTTCATTCCGTGAGAGAACTAGGATCTTGCTTTTGGAGTCGTTGATGGATATTCCCTTGCGTAGTAGTTCTGCTTCCCATTCCACCAGAGCTTGTTGTAATTTTCTTTTCGAGTCCGCTATTAGGACAATATCATCGGAATATAGAAGACATTTCACCAGAATCTGGGATTTGTGTGTGTTAGGGTTTAGTTATTGAAATGAAATGAAAAAATAATTTTATTCTGGGACTACTGTCCCCTAAGAATAATAACAGAGTTACAAATTTATGGATCTTAGTCTGACATAAAAATAAAAATACAAACTAATTTACTGTTAATTGTTATTTCAATTGTGCAATAGATTGAAATTAAACAGTGTTCAGATGAATTTTACATGTTAGCGGAAGTTTGAATGTGGAGTAGGTGGTGGAACAGGAGTTGTTTGAAGGAATTTGTGGACGAGGATTGACGCATGGAGGTAGGAAGTGAGTTCCACAAGGAAGCAGCACAAATGACGAAGGATTTGCTGAAGGGGAAAGTTTTATGGGAGGGGATATATAAGTCTATAGGTTAAGACCTAGTATTGAGAGAGTGGATAGAGGAAAGTAGAATAAGGAGTTCCAGGATGTAGGGAGGGTTTTTGGTTCAGAAGATTTGGAAAAGAAAAACACCAAGGAGGAATTGTCGTTGGGAAGTAGGATAAAGCCACTTCAATTCGGAGTGTTAAATGGCGTCAGGAAGTTCACTAATGTAGATAGAGAAAAGGATCAGGGAGAGTGAGGAATCCTGAGGAACACCTCGTGTTAATTGAAGGGGATGATGGAGGTTTGTTAGGAATTGTAATTGTCTGAGATCGATTGGATAAGAAGGAGAGGAACCATTTTAGGGCACTATTTGATATGAGCAGGGTTTGGAATTTGGAAAGACGGATCTTATGATTAACGGAATCAAATGCTTTAGAAAAGTCAAAAAGAATTAGGATGGAGATTTTCTGTTTGGCAGATTGGAGGTCTTGGGTGATCCTTAGAAAGGCAGACTGACTGGGTTGAATAATGGAGACGGAAAGCAGATTGTAAAGGATTGAGGAAATGGTTTTGCTTGAGAAACCTGTTCAACTGAGAGTGAACTAATCTTTCTAGAGGCTTGGATAGATTGGATAGAATGGAGTTATTCGGTTATAGTATCCAGTTTTTTCCGTTTCCAGTTTTGCAGCCAAGAAATATGTTCGGGTTGCTTCAATATTCCTATCATGGGCTCACTTCATTCGGGATTGCACAGTTCTTTGAAGAGTTGGCACGGGACGCTCAATAGGAGCTTCAAAGATTGAAGGCTGATGGTCCAATCACTCCAGAGCATCCTCATTTTGAATTTGTCAGAGGCTATTTGTCTTGCAGTTCGTAGTATTATTGATGGTGTAAGTGTTTTGAAATAATTTTAGATCAAAACAAAAACAAATAAATGTATAAAATGTATTTTAATTAATCCACTAAGAGCTATGTGAGGAATTTTAGAGCAAACAGCTGGACCGATTTCTATGTTTGATAGCCCCAATCATTCGCTAAGTGACAAATTATGGTATAAAATGTATTTAATCTGTCCGTTAAAAGATACCTAACAACTTATTAAGCAAAAAAAAAAACAACAATAAATCGGAAAATCATATCCATTTTAAGAGAATTAACTTCTATATATACTTAAGTACCTTGGTAAATTGTTTGAAAAATTGACATAGTTAATATTTCAAGTTGATATAGCAGTCGAATGGCTTTCGTTCATTTGAAAGAGTTTCCTTGGGATTGAAGGCACTGGACTAGTAGAGCATGTTTAAATATCCGTAGATAGTATTTACCGAAACAATCTATTAAAGTGTTTTTGTAGAAATGGCCTTAGGACATTGCCTTAGGATGGATAAACAACTTTTTCTCGCGTTTATTAGCACACAATGAATATGATATGTGATAATTTTGCACAATATTTCATTATCATTAATTATTTGACAAATTAAAAATCTTGAATAATAATAACCCGATTCGTATTAGAATTCATGAGTATGTGACCTGGAAAGTTTTGGGTCTTTCTTCAAACGGAGTAAGTGTTGCCAGAAATCATTGGATTCCTACTTGTGACCACATTTTTTTTCAAGCTCTTGGCTATTTTCCTAAAAAAAAAAGTACTTCAGAAACGTAAATAGTTTTAAAACCGGTAAAAGCTCCAAGTGTACCAATACCTGACAGCTACCTCATAAAATTGCAATAATAAGACTTGAGGACCTGTCACACCTCTAATTCTTATATTTTTGGTTTCTATATTTTCTCCTTTTATATTTGGCAGCTTTTCTTTAGTCATGCCGAGAACTATAACCAAATAATGGCTGACAAATTAGGAAGGCCCTTTACCGTTCACGATCATTAAGGACATCACGTCTTATGCTTCGCTTTTTCTCTTTAACTATTTTGATTTATCCCAAAGTTTTTGTTTTTATGTTTTCTTCAAATGATTTTAGATTATTTTTTATACTTTTTAACATATCTTGATGAAGGAATTGGAAATTTAAAGCGTGTTGGCTACTAGAGCCTTATAATGGAGCCTTTCGCCATTTGATGACCAGCCTGTACTCTATTCAATTCAAAGAGATATCCTTAGTGCAAAGGACCATAAAAATGAGACCATTCATTACTCTCTGATTTAAAAAAAAATGCTAGTGATTTAGATTAAATATAAAGTAAAAAAATGGTTTTCTATTGCCAAAAACAGATTCTTGACAGTGACCAGTATTTAACGATAAATTTAAACAGAGAAACGAAATGAAATTAGTTTTATAATAAGTTAAAGACGATTTTTGTTATATCAGTTTTTTTTAAATATTATTTCTTAATGATATTTACAACTGTATTAAAGAAATACATTTAGTAAATTTGTACATATGAATATAATGACGTGAAAACACTTGTTGAGAAACTACCAAATGGTAGCACTCTAATAATATATCTCAATTAGGAGATCACGGGGCCATCTTCTTTTCAGACGCCTCGGACGGTTATCAGGAATTGAAGACGAAGCAAGGTTAGAACCGCGAAGGTTGGGATGATTCTGAAGTTTATTATGGAAGGATAGGAATCTGAATTGGGCCAAATCTGAAACATAAGAAAAATTAACATCGTTATGGATTTTAATTTGTAACAAAGCAGTGAGCATTGAGGATTTTACGAAGGGTTTTAGTTTGTAAGGATTGGATACGAGAGGAATTCGATGGTTTAGTGGAGCCCTATAGCTCAACTCCGTAAGTCCAAATAGGCCTTATTTATAGTCATGTATATGAGTCTTTTGTAATTAATTGGAACTTTAGGGCGTTCGTCTAGTAAGTGCTGAAGTAATCGGAAACGTCGAGCTGTTTCTTGTCGTTTCAGTCTGGTATGAGGATTCCAAGTTTGTCCAGGTGGAGTCCTAAGTAACGGATTTGTTCAACAGAGATAAGTGGAGGATTCTTAAAGAAAACTGTAGGACAGGAAGTCATAGGTTTACGACGAAGGGTAAAGGTAATATGGTGGGATTTATTGGAATATATTTTAATTCTCCAGTTTTGACACCATTCTTCAAGATTTATGATGTGTGATTTAAGCATTTGGGATGCAATTGATGGGTCATTATTTACTGATGGGATACATGTGTCATCTACATACGTGGTGATTACAATTATGAAATGAATAATATAAAATTTATTCCGCACAATACATCCTTATTCTCGGGCGTGTCATCTATAGGAACATTCCAAATCAACAACTACTGATGCAACAAACCTATTCTCTGATTTTACGATTTTTAAAATATTTATGGATGTTTCATAGATTTGAAATTCGTCTGCGTAAGGCAAGAAGTGTATAACATGAATCCAAGAAAAATACAATAAAATTTTTATTTGTGTTTTTACAAGTAAAAGTTCTAATTCTAAGAAATTTCTGTAAGCAGGTCTGCTATTGGTGCATTTATCCTAATATATCTTTCCAAATGTAAAGTGCCTACTGTATTTCACAATCATTATAGTCTTAAAAAATCAAGTTAATTAATTGTAATTGCTAAATGAAATTTAATGAAATGAAACATTTCTACACAATTCCTCGATTGTTTGTATATTAGGGCCGACTGGAACGAACCCTTTTTGAGAATAGAGTACCAAGGAAAATGCGTTTGCACATATGTAAGATATAGTAGAGGATGGATTTTGATAAAAAAAAAATTATCTCAAAGTCCCACATGTAAAGATTTGAATTAGAAAAATAACAGAATTGGGTGTATTTTAATTATAAATATAAATAATA